CTGAGGCTGCTTTCACTCCAGTGAAAGCATGAGATTAGGTGATCAAGACTATATTCTTGGATTAAGATAGTTATCTTAGATGGATGATAATATTTGTATTGACATTGTCAATGGGCTGTTAGCCTTTCAGATTGTGATGTGAGATTAAGATTGGTCTTAATCCCCAATGGTAGACTATTGTAGCCAAGTGATGATGACATTTGTCTATCACCTGATTTAAATGGTCTGTAGGCTGTAGATTCAAGTGATTTTTTAGACACTTTGTGTCCTTTTCTTTTCTGTTTCAGTAGCTGGTGGAATACTGTTAGTCATTTTGACCTTTTCCGAGTTTCAGAGATTCCGAGATTTTTCTTTTTTCTGATAAATATGCATGATGTTAATGTATTTTAATAAATGAGCTTTCCTGTCTACTTAGGTAATGATTCCAAAGATCGTCCTTCATTTCCTCCCCAGAATCTGGTTGTAGCAGGTGTTCAATTATCAAAAGTACTGTAATAATTTGATTTGTGACCCGAATGCACCAAGTTGGTAAATCCTGTAATAATTTTTAAAAAATAGTAATTGGCACTATTTTTGCAAAGTTATTACAAAATCTGTTACCATAATAATTGTTTGATAAAATACAGTAGAATGCCTACTGGTTTTACCTGTAATAGGGTTTGATACAGTTGATTATGGTTAGATTGTAATGAATGCTCTTACAGTGATAAAAACACTTTTTTAAAGAATATTATGTAATGAGCAGCTCTGAAAATCAGTAGATTAGAGATAATGCTAGATAATACACATAAATATGTATGTAATGTTACCACAAGTGAGGTAGATGGTATGATTAAGATGCAGTGCAGTGTCTGTGACACTGATATACTTAAGTACTGTGGTTTCTTAACACAGAACAGTATTAGTATGCAATGAATGCTTACTAGTTAATGGATATGGTGTCTTAAGGCACTGCAAACTATTTGCTTACTTAGATATATAGCTATGATAAATATTGGCTGATAGCTAGGTTAGGCTAGAATATGTAAAAATTATTCCAATGCAAACTCAAGAAGTTTCTTATGTATTTGCTGGAATAATATTTGGTAAACAAATGACCATAAATATCTAGGTACGAAGGACCATTAATATCTAGGTATGAAGGACCATTAATGTGGGAAAAACCTGCTGGGATTGATATAAGAGGAGATTACCAGGGACTTGTACTGAACTAAATTAAAAATTTACTGTCTGCAAATTAATTCAATTAAAATCTCTAGCTAGGGTTGTAAATCCTAGCTCCTCTTTTCCTAATGACAGATTGTGGGCTGTAAGGGACAGGTGGGGTGAATGACTTAGTTGATAGAAGTTCCAATCCACCTGTAGACAGGGATCTCACATCAGCTTGTATTTTATACAAGGATAAGATTTAATAAATTCAGTTATATGACTGAACACTGGCTCTGTTTAAATCAGGGATTTAAACATACATAGTCTAACCTAGCACCTTAACTATTAACAGCCAATATGTACTTATACTATAAACAACAAATTAAATTGTAAAAGTATAATAAATGACTTTAAATGTAGTCTAAATACTGTTAACTAAGTACTAGAAATCATTCAATTAAATGAACTTATATGATAACTTAAAAAATAACTAAGCAAACAATTGATAACTTAATTTATATATTCAAGTATATATGCAATGTATTTATATTCAATTTATGATTAGGTACAGTCAGCTTGACTGAATCTCTTCCAACACAATGGACTTATTGAGGTTATTTACTTATTGCGGCTGAATTCTTTTCTGACACAATGGACACTCATGAGTCCAGTGCTTGGATAAGATTCACAGCTACACTACAATTCAGTCATACACTACACTACAGTCTCCGTGGTGTAGTGGTAAGACACTCGCCTGGCGTTCCGCGAGCGCTATGTCATGGGTTCGTATCCTGGCCGGGGAGGATTTACTGGGCGCAAATCCTTAATTGTAGCCTCTGTTTAACACAACAGTAAAATGTGTACTTGGTTGTAACAACGATTCTTTGCGGCGGGGATCGTATTCCAGGGACCTGCCCGAAACGCTACACGTACTAGTGGCTGTACAAGAATGTAACAATTGTATATATCACAAAAAAATTTTTTTTTTTAATAAACTTACTGAAATGTGAGGCTTTGCCTCACTTTTTAACCAACAGACAGATTTATAGGATATTAAAGTCACACAAGCATACAATTGGCCAATCATATACCAAAATAACCTTCAATATACTTCTCTGCCAGTCGGGGTGCCTGTCTGACAAGGTGCCAGACTGATTAACTCTGTTGTCACGAGTTTAGACACGTTATTTTTTTTCACAGCATTGCTGTATGATGTACTAGTAGCTTTGCTACTTTATTTTACTTTAACTGCGTTGCAGAAGTGATATGTTGATGGTGAAGGTGGAGCGAAGTCACTGTGTGCTCCGCTCTACACTTATAGATATAAATGTTCTATGGATTTTCCTTGTAAATATTGTCCAGGTACTCCCCCAGTTCTAGAGAGTATTCACTGGTGATAAAGATAACTAGATAAGGTGTCCTAAGCCAAATGTTCGCTAAGGATCCGTCACTTGTTCACTGAGTTGTAAACAAACGTGAAGTGCCGCGGGGTGTCTTGGTGGGCGCTTCACTCCCAGCCATCGCCCTGCCATGCTCCCTGAGCACGGTAGCCTTCCATGAATATTGATTGATTATTTTTACAGTCTAGACTTATGATTGAGATAAGATGTGATTATAATATAATTAGATATAGGATATAAAGATTATTAGTAGTACTTGATAGTACCACTGATTCTTATTAAGGATTCGATTTTATCCCTACCGAATATTGAATCAATGTTCCAATAGTTTTTTAATTAACAAATCCTTCTAGAAGCTTCTGGATCCTTGAGAGATCATGCACAAAGTCACGTAGGCATCAATAGGGCCCTGTAGCGTACGTGATCATAGTGACATTGTCATCTAGGATCAAGCTATATAATGAATCTATAATGATTCTAATATGATTTTGATACGATTTAGATATGATTTTGATATGATATAGAAATGATATAGAAATTATACATTTCTTAGATGATTATTAGATATGGTGGGTAAAAATTTCCCACATGGTTAAGACAATCTCAACAGCAAGACTTCTTGTGGGTATTTGTTGTGAGGTCGGTAGAGCTCCTGTCCTCGACTCCGGTGATCATCAGTTCTAGGCTCTGATGGTCAATGAAATGTCATTTACACGTTCATTTTAGATTACAATTATTTGTCACATAAACTTTTCACTCTGCTTTGAAAGACTTTCCTTATACTTCGTTTGTCTTACTTTAATTTGCATTTCCATGTTAATTTTTATTAAAAAAAGACAATATATTTTTATAATTTAGATATATAATTATCTGGAATTGTCCCTATGCATGATAAACATGCAATACAAGCACCCAAAAATAAGACTTATTTTCATAATATACAATTCAATTATAAAAATAATTATATACAGAAATTACATTTATTTAATGACAATCTAAAAAATTATATTAGGTTCATTACTAATTAGTTAATATATCGCATGCTGGTAGACATTTGCTCACCTCGGCCTGTACCCCTACACATGTGTCCCAGGGCTACACATGTGTCCCAGGGCTACACATGTGTCCCAGGGCTACACATGTGTCCCAGGGCTACACATGTGTCCCAGGGCTACACATGTGTCCCAGGGCTTCACATGTGTCCCAGGGCTACACATGTGTCCCAGGGCTACACATGTGTCCCAGGGCTACACATGTTTCCCAGGACTTCACAAGTTTCCCAGGGCTACACATGTTTCTCAGGGCTACACATGTGTCCCAGGGCTACACATGTGTCTCAGGGCTACACATGTGTCCCAGGGCTTATTTCCCACATGGTTAAGACAATCTCAACAGCAAGACTTCTTGTGGGTATTTGTTGTGAGGTCGGTAGAGCTCCTGTCCTCGACTCCGGTGATCATCAGTTCTAGGCTCTGATGGTCAATGAAATGTCATTTACACGTTCATTTTAGATTACAATTATTTGTCACATAAACTTTTCACTCTGCTTTGAAAGACTTTCCTTATACTTCGTTTGTCTTACTTTAATTTGCATTTCCATGTTAATTTTTATTAAAAAAAGACAATATATTTTTATAATTTAGATATATAATTATCTGGAATTGTCCCTATGCATGATAAACATGCAATACAAGCACCCAAAAATAAGACTTATTTTCATAATATACAATTCAATTATAAAAATAATTATATACAGAAATTACATTTATTTAATGACAATCTCAAAAATTATATTAGGTTCATTACTAATTAGTTAATATATCGCATGCTGGTAGACATTTGCTCACCTCGGCCTGTACCCCTACACATGTGTCCCAGGGCTACACATGTGTCCCAGGGCTACACATGTGTCCCAGGGCTACACATGTGTCCCAGGGCTACACATGTGTCCCAGGGCTACACATGTGTCCCAGGGCTTCACATGTGTCCCAGGGCTACACATGTGTCCCAGGGCTACACATGTGTCCCAGGGCTACACATGTTTCCCAGGACTTCACAAGTTTCCCAGGGCTACACATGTTTCTCAGGGCTACACATGTGTCCCAGGGCTACACATGTGTCTCAGGGCTACACATGTGTCCCAGGGCTTGACTTGTGCCTCTTCGACCAACTCCACAAGTATTCCCCCCCCCCTGGGCTGTGCTATGCCCTACTACCATTACCTGAGGGACTTCGGGCTTTTAGCTATGTACTTTCCAAGGTCTCCAATGGCAGTGGCTCACTACCTTCTGTCTGTCTATTACATCCATTATTAGTAATATTTAATTTATAACTGTTATTTTTGTTATTGTACGTGCTTGGTCGCCAGTGTCAAGTCACATTTTGTTACACACACATGTTCTTACTATGGCTACCACCTACTGCCAATGATCATTATGCTCATTTTCACAGACCAGTGTCACCCATGGCTACCGGAACACCCAAGAGGAAGAAAGGAAAAGCAGAAGCATGTACACGGGGGACTAAGCGAGTCTCATCCAGAGCCCAGCCAGCAAGGAAGAGATTCATGCCCTCCAAATATGATTCGTCTCTGCCAGTCAACTCTGATGGATCCCCACTGGCTAGCACTGAGCCCAGCCCCAGGCCACCAAGCGCCTGCTTGTCCTCTGGTGGTCACTCGCCATCCCGTATACAGTTGGAGCAGGTCAAGCACACACTGCATGATGTACAGTCAACTACGGGAAGTAGTTATGCCAAGCAGAGGTCTCCCTCGCTAAGGCCCTCAAGGCCCCCAAACTCGTCATCCACAGCAAGTAAGTTTCCTCTCGTGAGCGACAGTCTAACAGTTTTCCATATGATTTTACAGGTCTCCATTATCCCCTTAGGTCACAACCTCTCCTGAGATTGTGTCCCACACGGAGTTGGTGCTCTTCATCACCCCGAGTGCTCACACCTGGCATACTTTCCGTACATCCATAACTTGCATACCTATGATGCCCCTTAGTGCTCGTGTGACCAGTTAAACCTGGAGGGCAGAAAACACAGCATTCGCGTGGATCCTTTTGTGCAGGATATCAAACTCCAGGTATCCCAGATGTGGGACCCTCTAGGTGTCCCAGATGTAGGACCCTCCAGGTATCCCAGATGTGGGACCCTTCAGGTGTCCCAGATGTGGGACCCTCCAGGTATCCCAGATGTGGGACCCTCCAGGTGTCCCAGATGTAGGACCCTCCAGGTATCCCAGATGTGGGACCCTCCAGGTGTCCCAGGTGTGGGAACCTCCAGGTATCCCAGATGTGGGACCCTCCAGGTGTCCCAGGTGTGGGACCCTCCAGGTATCCCAGATGTGGGACCCTCCAGGTATCCCAGATGTGGGACCCTCCAGGTGTCCCAGATGTGGGACCCTCCAGGTATCCCAGATGTGGGACCCTCCAGGTGTCCCAGATGTGGGACCCTCCAGGTATCCCAGATGTGGGACCCTCCAGGTGTCCCAGATGTGGGACCCTCCAGGTATCCCATATGTGGGACCCTCCAGATGTCCCAGATGTGGGACCCTCCAGGTGTCCCAGATGTGGGACCCTCCAGGTGTCCCAGATGAGGGACCCTCCAGGTATCCCAGATGTGGGACCCTCCAGGTGTCCCAGATGTGGGACCCTCCAGGTATCCCAGATGTGGAACCCTCCAGGTGTCCCAGATGTGGGACCCTCCAGGTGTCCCAGATGTGGGACCCTCCAGGTGTCCCAGATGAGGGACCCTCCAGGTATCCCAGATGTGGGACCCTCCAGGTGTCCCAGATGTGGGACCCTCCAGGTGTCCCAGATTTGGGACCTACCTTTGCCTACCGAGAAGGAGCTGCCTTTTCACACGACCCTAGGCAGGAGTCTGGGGCTTCACACAGCACCACTCGCAGCCACACATCTCACAGGTGTCTTCAGGTTGCTGCTTCAACTATTACCAGCAACATACCCTTCAGCAAGCTAGAGACTGTTCCGACAGTCATGACTGTTGCACTGTGCTGTTAGACCCTTGGCTTTCAAGCCGTACCCTTTGCACCCTAGGTCATCATTGGATACCCCACTACCCCACCCTGCACAACAGAGAGGACTAATGTTGCACACTACCCAACAACGATGCTCACTACTCCTGAAGACGTATGTAGTTTTGCTCAGTTCTTGGAAGGTTGCTCCTTCAGGGACTTTATCATCCCTGGGTTTCAAACCTGCACCTTCCCGAAAGTTAATTCCTCTGACTGCTCATTGAGAGCAGAATACCCGGTCATATTCAAATGCCCCCCCATTCTCTGACTTTAAATGCTCCCCCATTCTTACTTTGCAAGAACTCCTCCCCAGTGAAGTCCAAGCCCCTCCTCAATATGCCATTCTTTTACCATCACAAGATGGTAAACTTTAAATTCTGAAAAGACACATACTTAGACATTCCATAATAATAATAATAATAATAATAATAATAATAATAATAATAATATTGATGAGAAAATCCATAGGAGCCTTGATGGGGGATTCGAACCTATGTGTTAGGTAGTCTCACGCACAAGCCCCAGACAATCAAGCCCCGAAATAGTCTAAAGGATTGCAACCTTGTGTTCTACTGAACACACAAGGGTTTCCTGAGGCTTCCACTGAATCCGGACTAGGAAACCCTCGTATGTTCAGTAGAACTTCAGGTTGTAATCCTTTTGATCACGTCGTGGCCTGATTGTCTGGCACATATGAGTGGGACTACCCACTGCATAGGTTCGAATCCTTATCATAGCTCCTACGGATTTTCTCAATGATACATGACGTTAGTGTGATTATCACTGTGTAATATTAATAATAATAATAATAATAATAATAATAATAATAATAATAATAATAATAATAATAATAATAATAATAGTATCAATGATAGGATCAATTTTATTCATTAAATGTACATAACAACCTATTCCAGTAGTTTATTTGTAGGTACAGAGGTTGCATTTGAAATAAATAAACTAATATGCCCGAAATGCTGCGCGTACTAGTGGCTTTACAAGATTGTAAATACTATGCTGTGTATTCTCTCAAACCCAATGTACCTTCTTGTATATAAATAAATAAATAATAAATAAGTAAATATATAATATGCAAAAAATCTGGGACATAACCAAAATAATTCCCTCTATTTATAGGTCTAATTAGATAAACCCTTAATAATAATGAGAAGCAAGCTAACATATATGATGACCAAACCACACTAGAAATTGAAGAGACGACGACGTTTCTTTCTAGTGTGTGTTTTTTTCACACAATTTGTTCTGCGGCCCTTCTTCCTTTTCTTCTGGAGGGTTTCAGAGTCAGGGTGGGGTTAGATCAGGATGAGGCCCGGGTGGCTTTGGGGGGCTGACCCTTCCGATTCGGGCGAGGACATGGTTGCACCTCTTTTTCCCATCAAAGTTTCTGAGTCTATCCAGCCGACTACCTTCTTTGAAGCTTTTCCCCTGGACTCTGCTGTCCCCCGGGGCCTTTACCTATGATTTCCAGGGGGAGGAGGGGAGGAATCCGAGTGGAGCTCTTGAATTCTGTTTGACCCGACTTGGGCCCTTGAGCCTTGTGCAGGGTAGGGGGTTTTCATTCCCCTCCTTCCCTTTATGAGTTTGAGTTTGGTTGGGTTCTCCCCTGGTGTACGGTTCTGGGTGCCTTTGGGTTCCTTGGATTCGTCTTTCCGCCAGTTTTCTTCTTCCTGAATTTTCCCCCTGTGGAGGTTTGGGAGGCTCTAGGTGCTTACCTCCTGCGGGTCTATGCCTCGGTGATGGCTCTGGCTTTGTTTGAATTCGGTTCTCATTCTTCCCTTTTTTGGATGCGTTATGAGGTTCCGGAGCCTTCCTGGCTGGCAGACTGTCCCTTCTTTTCCTTGGAGCTTGGCGCCGTTTTTGTCGTACCCACACACTTGAGTGGCAGGAGGTTTCTAGTGTGTTGCAGGTGTTTTTTTGGGGGGCTCACTCTCGTCTCTCAATGAGTTCCTTTTCGCTCCTGTGTTTCCTCATGATGTTGGTCTGGTGCAGTTTCAGCCTCATGATCCCACTCTTTTGGCTGCTTTGGTAGCCGATGATCTTCGGACTTGAAGTCATTTGGCTTCTGTCTTGTGAATCTTTGGTCTTCTGGAGCTGTCTTCGGATTGACTTTCAGAAGATGCAGGGTCACAGGGTAAGGGGCACTCGGCTCGGGTCTTTGTCTCAAGTGCTTCACCGTCGTGTGCCTTAATGAAGCTGTTTCTGCTGATCCTCCAGGAGGTCCTATCCATGTTTTTCACCTCCCGCCTCCCGTATCGTCAGGCTGTGCTGGCTCTCTCGTTGGATTCAGCTGGGCACTGACTCTTCAGTGGACATCTCTGTTTTGTCCTCTTTTGTTTCCTGAGGACAGTGCGGTCGTTCTTGGCCCTCCCAAATAGGTCGGGCCGAGGCTGAGGCTTGGTTTGGTTGGGTTAGGCCTATGGTGCCAGTTTTTGAGTCGGTGGTGAATCCAGTGCCTAGTTCCTCTGGTTGGTATGGTGTTCGCTCTGCACAGAAGTCAGGCTCTTAGGGTTCGCGTCTGCCCTTTTGCAAGTCGGCCCATTGACGGGGCAATGGGGGTTAGGCCGGCTCTTTTCGCCCATGCATGGGTTCCATGATTCGTGAGCTCTCCGGGTCGTTTTTTGCTGCTTTCAGTGGTGTTGAGTGGATCTTCCTCCTTATGGAGAGTCGGGTCTCTTCCCCAACCATCTGTCAGGTTATCTCGAAGTAGGTTCGCTTAGGTGTGGTCGAAACGACTTCATCTCTCGGGTGGGTTTCCTGCTGACTGTTGCCAATCCGGGAACAGGGTTGTGCGGATCTCCGGTACATTCTGGACTTGTTTCATCCGAACCAGTTGATTCCTTGTTCCTCCTTTCGGATGATTATGCTATTCTAGGTCTGGTTCCTCCTCGAGCCTGATGTGTGGATGATTTTGCTGGACCTCAAGGACGCATATTGGAGCGTCCCTTTCCATCCGGAGTTCTGGAACTGGTTAAGTTACGTGGTGTTTGCTTAAAAATAGTAAGCATGCTTACCGTTTTTGTTATCTTCCATTTGGGCTCAATTTGGTACCTCACGTGTTCACGCATTTGACTCTGATCGCGGTGGCCCATCTTCGTCTGCTAGGTCTTCGGGTCTTGGCCTATCTCAACGACTGATTGGTGTGGACTCCCATCCAGTCTGCTTGTCTGCTAGCCAGGGATTTTGTTCTTTTACAGCTCACTAGATTCTGGTTCCTGGTGAGCTGGTGGAAGTGCCAGTTGGTTCCGTCCCAGGATCGAACTGGACTGGGCATTGTGTGAGATTTTGGAACTGTGTCCCTTTCTCTCCCTCCTGCAGCGATGTTCCTGCTGCAGTTCTGCTGTCGGTTGTTATTGAGGGAGACCCTTTTATTGGGTTACTCAAGCAGTTGTGCAAGAGCATGAACTTTGCTCTGCTGGTTTACCCACTTGGCAGGGTTTGGCTTTGAAAGTATTCTGGTTTCTATGGGGCAGCCATTCTCGCAACTCTTGTAATTTCTGGGTTTTCCCTTTGTGTCCTTGCGCAAGTTGCTGCGTTACTGGTTTCTTTTCGTTTTTTTCGGGGTTCATTGCCATGGCATCTCCCTCCTCCCTTGCTTGATGTTTACATAGACGCCTCGTCTGTAGGTTGGGGCTTTGTGACCATCTCTCTACAATCCAGCCAAGGGCGGTGGTGACCGTCCATGCATCGGACTCCCAGCATGGTTCGGGAGTTTGTGGCGGAGTAGGTGATTGGTACATCATTTGCAAAGGAAGTGCC